TGTGCTATTCATTCTTTCACGATTGATTCTCTTGCGTCCCAGATGTAGGCATCGACCTGTTCATCTATTAGTTGGCTTTGATACTCATCATTTATCATTCATTGGTTGACATGTTGTTTCCGGCGATTCAGCTAATTCAACCCATCAGCAAATATGGAAGTATGCGACCTTTTCTTGGACGACTGCTTTTGTGAAGAGCGCGTGTGCACTTCCATGTTGGGAACGGAACCTTCGATGGAGCGCCCAAAACCGATTGACTTGCTTCCAATTGCTAAAGCCCCCAGAAAAAAAAGGGAGAAAACAAACAAGAGCAAATATGTCTTCTAGTGATAGATTCCCTTTAACACTAACAGGGGAAAATACAAAATACTCCTGTCAGCAAATGGAAGCTTGTGCTAGCATGTTATGGAGGCATCCAAATATGCCTTGAAACAGGATTTCCAACCAGGTTTGGGAGTTTCTCAAGATACCCTGGAGCTGATTCCTCTTCCCCTTTAAGCTGGTGTGCGTCAATTTTTTTACGGGACCCCGAAATAGTGGGGTCCCCTTTGGGTGTAACCAAACGGAGAAAGCGCCCCACCGAATGATCCAAGCTGGGAGGGAATGGGATGTCTGGTCTCGCACAAGTTCCCGGCCTAATTCTCAAAGAAGAGTACTTCCAGGCTGGGAGTTGGGAGGAATGGATTATGTGAAAACAGGCTTGCAAGGCGGCAACAAGCCCTATACGTGGTAGGTATGTACCCTCCATCCAAAACCCATATCTGGTTTTGACCATTTCCCTGAAACCTTTCAGCTTGATCCTTCCGAAACCCTCCCCGTCTTTCACTTGGCTGCCGCACGGCCGCCGGCCCCCGGAGGGACCAGGATGCGCCGGGCACGGAACCTTCGCAAAGCCACGAACGGCGTGCACGGCGGGTCAGGATTCAGGATTGATCCTCCCAAGCCAGCGGATCTGGTAGCCAAGGACGCCTACAAGACGAAATGAAATATGGCCGGTTCAAGGCCGTTTCGCCCGCTTTGCGGGGACAAAGGTCCACCTCTATGCGAACCAAGCGCTTGGTCTTCCGCTGGAGAACACTCAAATTCTGGGCAAGTGTCCCAATTAATTTCACAACTTATGTTGGGGACACAGCGTCGTCATTACCTAATAAACTATCCATTGTCATTACACCTTTGCCTTCGTTTGATACTGCAACATTTCTAATTGAAATATTACCATTATTCCCGCCAGTAACTTCATTAAAATTAAGATTGTACCAGGATCGCCCATTGACAAAGCAATTCCTTGGTACACGTCTGACATATACTCTTGGCAATAATTCATTTTCTAGAAAGCAATGGATCGTATTCATAACGATTGTCCAATGCATCACATACTACCATTGTGTCTTTTAGGTGATCAAAAGGCTTTGTCAAATGTGACAATATGATCACGCAAAAAACAAAAAAACATGAGTGAAAGTTAAGAAAACAAAGTGAATGTGTGTTTACGAGGTAAGTATAAATTCACAGTTATTTATGTCACAACTTTATAACTATACTTGTTAAATCAATATTAACACAAAATGCAATATGTAAATATACTCCATAGCATCCAAGAATGGTTAATAGAATGCCAATGCCTGGAAACAACAAAATATGCTAAATCGATTGATGATAACAATTTACTGATGCTAACCTAACAGAGTTACAGCAACAACACGTAGTTTTGGAACCTCAAGTATCAGAACCAACATTCTCCGTATCTGTACATATGTTCCTGATCCAAGCATGCATCCACATGACTATAATCCAGATAGGCGGTGATTGTTCAGCTTCCCTCCCCCCAAAACGGGTGGCTTGGAGCCGAATCGGTGGTTTGGAGGCATTCTGGGAGTGGGTTTTCCGTGTACACAAGGACCAGAACCAAAATTTGTTGCCATTTCAACACACAACAACAAAGAGGCCCACAGATGCCCTAGTATCTTCAAGTCACTAAGACAAATTCCACTCCTTGCCCGATTGTGGGGAGCTGCTGCACCGTGTCCCCTCAAAACTTGCTCGCCTGGTATCGATCTACCCACCCATGGGTGAAGACATAAAGGCCGCCTTCTGCCACACATACTGGTTGGGACTGGCCCAAACCTCCCCCCCAAAGGATCCAGTCGCCCTTGTGGAGTTGAGCATCCCAACCAAAACCCAAATGGATGGTCGAAATGACCGCGGCACGTCTTAGGGCTCACAGCCAAGTGGATGTGGAACTAAGGGGCACTCTTGTCGTCGCTTGATTTTAAAGGGAAAGCCTTCCCCCAAAAAAAGGAAGGGATCCACTGAGCACCTTTCGGCTGGGTGTTGCCGTTCACCTTTCGGCTGGGTGTTGCCAACCGCTTTCCCTTTGATCACCCAGCTGAACAGGTTCTTACTCGAGTGGTTTTGTTGGAACAAAGGAAAAAGACACATTTACACATCCATTTAATCCTGCTCATTTCACTCCACGGGGGCAAAAGAATCAAACGGTTGGCAGCCAATTCCATGTCCCTGGATGGCTGGCGATGGAAGTCTTTGGGCCGCGGGCCATTGCGAGTGTTGCCCGTAGTTGGCCTAGCGAGCGAGTGACTGAGTGGAAACCCCGCGGGCTGGGGCAACGTGGGTCAAGTGGAGTGGGTGTCCATCATGTCTTCAGGTAAAGCCCAATGGAAAATTGTCTCAAATAACCAACCTCCTTTCATCCAGCTCCATATGTGGCAAGGGAGAACAAGTGTTAGCCCTCACTTCCTAAGCTGGGCAGGAGTTTGCACTTGGTACTATACGGGTCTGCTTCCCCATTCGCTACCAGTAGGGCCCGAGCACTTATTTGTCCACCATCCCGTGGTGCCAAACCTGAAAAGAAGCCCCTGGATTCGTGGTGGAAAATCACCGGACATCTGTGATACCAAAGCGGCCATCACCACTTTTAACAATGCATCACTTGAAGGGATTCCCTTCTTCCGGAAAGTGAACGCAATGCCCTTGACCGTCACCCCACCAAGAGGACAATCGGGTAGAACTACCCCAAAAGGTGATGTTCAACGGGAAACCTTCACAAGTGGAATTAAACTCACTCCAATTGTCCATCCCCATACCCCCGGGTTTGCTGTTGCATTCATACACGGACCTTCTGGAACCGTCCAGGTCAGCCTCTGGAAAGACCGGCCGGTTTTGGGTCGCCAACCTCTTCATCTGTATGAAAGACTCAAGCAAACAGGATAAGCTGGAACACTTCACCCCTGACATGTTTAAACCACCAAGGTTCAACTTAGATCGCGGTTGCCGTCGCGCGAAAGGGCTTCGAGAGGTAAGCCTGGTTGAAACCTGAACCATCAAACGTCCCACGGACGTTTAACCCCAAATCGGGGCTTTTCAAGGGTTCCTGCATGTGTTCCTTCCAAACACGGGCTTGACCTGTCCCGAATCCCACCGGAGTTCGACCGCTTACCTGAAGGAACCCGGGGGTCATGAATCAGCTTCTTTGTGTATCCAAAGGAGGTCAAAATGGCAACAGTCCAATTGCCCTTTGATGTTGGTGCTCAAATCAGAAGCGAATTATGTGTATGATCTGGAGGTGCATACCCACAAAAATTGCACTCCTCGACTCGCCACTACTTTTCCCTTGTAGCTGCCTGAAAGGGGTTCTTCCTTTCTTCAACCAAACGCCCTGATTTCGTACACCCGGCTGATTTCCCCAACCCCCGCACTCGTTTGTTTAGTTGCATGGGAACTCAGGCTAGGTCCTCCAGTAGAGAGATTCGAATAAGGGTACCCTTTTTCTGTAGTCTATTTTAGTAGGGGAACCATCCCCCTAAGAAGGATAAAAGGGCACTACTGGGGGACCTAGCAGGTTGCTACGATGTGTTTCTACCGTGGAGATGCACATCCCATGGTGCGTAGCTTGCCACCACGACCGTCAACCGATGTGGGTTGCAGTCTTATCCAAGAGCTGTAGATCCGGGGTAACTCATGTGCGACACAACTGTCACATATGCTGAACCCTGGCCCAGACCACTTGCCGGAAAAGCAGGTAACCACCCTTCAAAATCAAAAGGAAAAGGTCGAAGGGTTACCCACTCTACAGGCAACTGGGGTCCACTGAGTCAATTTTGTGTATACTTTTGGTGTGGAGACCCCAGCAACTCGAAGCAACTCGGTGCGCTTTCGTCTTTCGCTTTGCGCGCCTCCCCCAGGGGGTTGGTAGTGGACCACTCAGCCCACTCGCTCACTTGGCAGTCCGAAACTTGGCACGCCCTGGCGATCCGAGATCGGAGCGCTCAGATGTTCCTATCAGCCACGATTTTTGCAGGTCTTCCCTTTGAGGAGCCCACCCACAGCCATGGAACCACCTGGCTGTGCGCGGATATGCGCACCTTGGCTGGGATGGGCCCTTTGTCTTGGATGGGGGGTTATGGGGATGGGGGTTTACTCGCCAGACCTGACAAACTTGCTGGTTGCATGGACTAAAACCAATGTTTGGACACACCTACCAACCTGAAGCGGAACAAATCGCCGACTGACTGGAAAAACTGGTGCCCTCGAGGATGTTTCAGCACGGGATTCCATACTGTAGAGTTCAAAGACCAGCAAAGGATTCCTAGAGCGTTTCCTGTTTTGAGAGAAAACCCAAAGGGAACCCAGAACATAGAGGGACTTCAGCATGGTAGAGGGACGCTACACTACACTTCCAGGTCTCCGAACTTGACTTTCGGTTGGGTCTCATGGGCCTAGTCCCACAACCATAGCTTGAACCCTGGGTGGATGTTCGTAAAGCGGGATGCAACCATGGTTGTAAGGAAACCACCCATAGGCATGACTACTATATAAGTGGGTTGGACACAAAGACTCAAAGGCAGGGATGTAATTAGCATGGCCTGATGACTTCTCCGCTGCAGATCAAGAATCGCAAAGATCTATCACTTGACAACGATTAGCCATGTCTGGCAAGATCAGAACCTTATGAATAACTATTGCCTGATTTGTTTGACCGTACATTTCTTGGCGGTTCCCAGCCATAGCCTTAGGCTGTCAAAGTTTAGAGATATTTACCACCTATGCCGCATATCCCACCAAACAATCAACTAGCAAGGGACCAACGAACCCCTAAGTTAAACATGGAACATGGGGAGTGAGGTACCTGACTTTGGGCCGAAAGGTAAGGACTGAGTGTGCTTACTCTTTCCAGGTGCACCCGGATCCCCCACAAAGGCGGTTGAGACAAAAACAACTGCCAAAGGTAAAACTCAATGCAAGTTGACAGAAGGAACCGAAAGAACCCAAAACGGCAAACATCACACAAAAAAAGGAAAGTTATCTAGCATCGAGTGGCAAAAGGTGATGCTACGCGCCGGAAACATAAGGGACCTCTATCTTCAACCACAAATGAGGCTCCCCCTATTTCGATTCACACACACACACACCCATGCAGGCCTCGCAAAAAAACCGCCAGGTAGTAGAACACCCCTACTAAAATGGCCGATGGGGGCTTTGGGTGCTCCACCGGAGCGAAGTGGAGTTTGTCTATAGTACTGTGGATCCACTTCGCACCAGTTGGAATCGATGCCCTACGACAGTGACGGGGATAAACCACCTCCCAACGCAGGAGCCAGTCGATAGATTCAGGCCAAGGGTCCTACCAGGGCATGAATGGAATGGTGTTGTAGCGTACCAAAAGACGAATTAAGGCATAACCATGCGGAAAAACATGTGAGAGTGATTCAGGCCCGCTTACCTGAAGTATCATGGCTCCTTAGCTGCTTGCTTTAAACGTCACCCCACCAAAAGGAAGCTCGGTTTGGCCCACAAGGTGATGTTTAATTCGCTTCCCTCTTGGCTTCCCTTTTCTTTCCAACCCTTGGACAGGTAGCAAAAGCCTCTGTTTTTGCCTCCCGCCCCCAAAAAAACACGAATGGAACCAGATACCAACAAAAAAATCTATAAAACACACACTGCCAACCACAGTGAAGGTGTTTTTTTTTTCTTTTTTCTCGGCTTCCCTTTCCACCCAACCCTGAACGAGTTCCTAACTCGCGAAGGAACCCGCAGACATCGATCCAAGACATCGATCTTTTCGGGCCCAAAGCCGAGCCTGGACTCGCAGGTCTCCGTCTGGTGGGTCACCCCCTCGCCACAAAAAGCCTTCTGAGCCCCAAGGGACTTGGTTGACGTTCAAAAGGGGAGCAAAAACTCTCAAATTTTACAGTTAAGTGGGGATTTCAACCACTAAACCACAATAAACAAAAAAATAAAATGTTTCCCAACAACAACCATGCCACACCCAGGAAGGCCCCCTGATGGATTACAAGAAGCATCTCTTGGAAGGTCCATCCTTTCGGCCATGCGGATCACATAGGCTGTGTCAAAACACGGCATTCCCCGAAATGTCTAGGAGATTCACCTCAACCAAAGCCGAGGCACGATGGAGCAAAACCCCAAGCAAGATCAAGGGCTTATTGGGGCCAACGGAAACCCTCCCATCGCAGCCTCCGATACATGTCGGGCACAATCAATCCGGGGTTCCCATGACTGTGGACATCACCAAAAATCGACCGGCAGTCCGGGTTGGTGGTTGATCAGGTGTAGGGCTTTATCCATCTGGTGCGAGGCAGGATTTTATCGGCTCCAGATTTTGCAAGGGAAGCCCAAAGGAAACTGTTGCCATTTTGGGGACCAATGGCTTTGAGGAACCCCCATATGTTCAGATCTTATTTCATATTTAGACCCAAGACTGTCTACTCAGCGAATCAATCTTCAGGGTTCCGATTGTGAACCGCTCCGAGTCGCCCCAAAGGAAACCACAAGGGATTTTCCTCCCCTCCTCAGAACCAGCAAGTGAAGTGGCTTGGCTTGTGCTCCCATTTGCTTGGCAGTTTTGGGTACGTAGGAGGCAAAGTTCAGTGACTTTCAGTACTCCGCCGTTTCCCGCTTTCGAAGATTCGACGCTCTAAAAACGATCGGCGTGTGGTTTCCACGTGCATCTAGTCTTGGACTGCTTCTTGCTCAGTGGTTGGAATAATAGACTTAGTTTCCAAAAGGTTTCTGATAAAGGCCGCACCAAAGAGTCGGAGTAACAAAACCATTTTGGGGCTCCAGGAAGAACCATTGGGATCGTCTCAAAGAAACCGCAACATGGTTCATAAGGTGATGTGTCTCTCATTCTCTACTGAAAACCGGCAAATTAAGTGATTTAGCTTCGACTCTGCCACCACCACATGTCCTTTTCTGCAGACCCCTTGTTGCGTTTGGAAAGGGGGCCTGTGCACCACACCCCGTTTTGCTAAGGCCCTTGATCAAGCCAACATGGCCCCAGAACCAAGTTGAAGTCCTGTGCCCAAACAGACAAAAGCAGCGCTACAAGCGCCACCCAGCCTGCAAAAACCTTAGAACCTTCTCATAGGTGCTGATCAAAGGCTCTAGAAAATGACCAGATTTGCCCAAGCACTCACCAGAAAGCAGGTCAGGTCACTTGGATCAATCAAGTCACACGAACTGGATACCCATTCTTCTTGCAGATGTGTCACTTTGACTGCCTCCTGTGAACCTTTGATTCATCCCAACGTTCCTCTCTCTGTGATGGCCGCGCTGGATACGCGCGCATTTCCCTAACCAGGAACACATCGATCTGGGGCGCCCCAACGTCGCAGGGACGCCCGCCGTGCTTGGCCTCTCGCGAGTCGGCGTTTGGACCCGAAAGCAGAAGGCTGTGGTCTGCATTTACCTGTGTGGAGGCAACCAACCAAGACCATCATCCTAAAATGGATACAACATAATATAAATATTGCCAGGGCCGATACGCCCGGGATTCACTGGGCTCATCAATCATTATCGGAAAAGAAACCACCCGTTTTCAGCATCGATCCTTTGTGCGTTTCCTGAGGGTCAGCTGGTTGGTTTGCTGGCTGCTTGCTTGCTTGCTGGCTTGCTTGCTTGCTTGCTGGCTGGCTGGCTGGGGCTGGCTGGCTGGCTGGCTGGCTTGCTTGTCTGGTTGCTCGTTTGAATGTTTGCTTTCGCTAGGTAACCCTTTTGGGGGGTTGGCTTAAGGGGACCCACATAAGAAACCACTGATGTCGGGGTTCCCCCATTGATTAGGGAAAGCCCATGTGTCCCCTCAAGGGAAACGGAGGGACACCGACCGATTTGCGACCCAGGGAGAAACTCCATCATTCCAACGGGGTCGTAAAGCAACCCGGAGTCCAACAGCAGAGGGTAGGCCATTTCGCGGATGCTTGATACGTCTGGAAACAAAGGTAAACCGAAGGGGCCCATTTTACAGCTTCTGTTGCCTACGAGAAACCAAGATGCGAAGTTTCAACATCGGTGGATTGAACCGTTGCAAACGCTGGAGCTATGCCATGAGACAGTTTTGAGTGTAAAACAGCTGGAAACCAGAAGCAAGGGCGAATACCTCATTCTAGAATACAGCCCGGAGGGTGATCCGTCCCTGTAGAATCTGAGAAGACCACTTACTACAAGACTAGAAAGTCAACCAAATTTTCGGGGAGCAGTTGAAATCTGCAAAACCAACACAAAAAAAAAGTTGAAATCTGCAACATTAACACAAAACAAAAAACAACACATAAGCCCTCCAGACTCGTCCACATGGGACAAGGCGAAGGGGCCAGTTCTTCAGCTCACCTTTTGGCTGAACCCTTGCGTCCAGGCCGCGTCCCAAGGCGCGCAAGGCAGGAGATTTCCGTGCAGGTGTCTCCTGTTGGATTTCCCCTAAGTTGATCAGTTTACTGGCGGCTTCAACATTGAGACCCACTTTGGGGAACTGGAGGAGTTGACCTTGTGAAAATATGTTCCTGATTTTTGAAGAATTGCTACCCCTGCCTTTTTTGGAGGTAAAGATAAACTCGCACCCTGTCAGGCCCTAAAAAACCGCCAGGGGCCCTCAAACCGGAATCCTTACATTATACACCTGAACATTGCCTTCTCAAGGGTGGTTTCCCTTTATTTTGGTGTGGAAAAAGCAACATGTTTCAAATGGTCGCAACATGGAGATCTTTTGAGGAGCCCTGTCAAACCGCATCTGCTTTTCGGCTTCGACCCGCGGCCCTTTCCCGTGGCCTGCGCGATCACGCGGCGGAAGCGGGTGTACTGACCCTCACCTGGCAGAAGCGAGGGGTGAAGGCGCGATTCCCCGGGTGTCTCTTTTTCGGGGTTGGTACCTCCTTGTTTGTTTGTTTTTGTTTTTTCTTAAAGTGTGAAGTGTGTGTGTGTGTGTGAGGGAAACCAAAATAAAACCTGTTGCCATGTTGGGGGGGACCGAATCCTGAAAGAAACAGCGCACCCATTCAGGTGACCTTTGTTCTCTTCACATGTACTTGTCCGAACAGAAAGCACTGTTCTTTTTAAATGTACACGGATTTACACAAGTCTGTTGATCAACCAAGCGTCCGCTTCGACAAAGTAAATCCGCCAGGGCTTCTTCGTCAGCTGGGCTTGCAAAGCCGCGTTTACAATCTAAGTACCAGGTTGAACCCCTAAGTTGAAGTAGCCCAGGATCCGCTTGCCACCCAAGAACTTGACCAAAACCAAGTTCCAAAGGGATTCAACGGTCAACCCAAAAAGCTCAAGCAAGCCATCCGGGTTTCTTGATCTGGCTATTGCGGGACATGCAGCCCTGGGGCGTTACTCTTCACCTCTGGCCATCAACTCTGGGGAACCACCTCTCAAATGGTTTGACACAAACCCCAACCTTCATGAGGTCCATACAGCGGATGGACGAAATCCATTTCGCACCATCCTTCAGAAATCCTGGCTTCTGAGGATTCCCCTGTAAATGTCAACAAAACCCATGGTTTCCTGCAACATTCCGTCCATCCACAGTAGGTCCCTACTGAAAATGTCATGCCCAAACCTCTGGCGCCTTCTTTTTTCTCCGGGCAAAAACTTGCTCTGGCCAACTTGGGCCACTGAGGCCGTCGGCCGCAACGAACAAAACTGGCTGCGAGAAACACTTGCTCTCGATGTGCTTGGTTTGGTTATGGCAACCTGCTTGTCTTCGCAACCTGACTTTCCACATGCGTATTTGCATGTCCATGATTTGCTTTTTCCTTATTTGATCTCCTGTAAACTCCAAAATATATCCTGCCATGCCATCACTTCCGAAAAAATGCCCAGCCAGAAAAGCTGCCTTCCAGGCCCGCGCATGCGACGCACGCCATCGCGCTAGCGCGCCCCGGCACACCCGACTCACTCCGCCAAGAGGCGAGTCCGCTCAAATGAACCACGGGCCGCGGCCAAAGAGGTGCACGGGAGTGTGGTGCACAAAGTGCCTTGGTGCAAGAGGAAGAGACCTCTCAGCGTGTCACGACCCTTTTTATCCTAGTCCTGTCCAGAGTTGTGGCATCCCATGCAGCTGCCAAAGCCCCACAACACACATGTGTCGCATACAAGGTCTTCTTTGGGGTAGCTAACTAGGGCAGTGCATGACTACCTGACACCATCCCCTAACCGATAGAGGGAAGCTGCGCAAAACCGATTTTAATGATACCCATCAACCTGCAAAAACCGATGAGCGCCAACCCCAGGTCATATTGTCCGTCCGTTTCTCTATGTGGAACCAACGTGGGCCATCCCACGGCTACTTTCTCATGAAAGGATATCCCCTAATACTGTGGATGGACGAAATCCTGCACCACCTAAGAAGCCATGGCATAACGAACAACGGTTTCCCATGGTTTCAAAGTGGTGCGAAATGGATTTCGTCCATTAAAAACCAGTTCTCCACAACTTGTCAGGTTTGGACAATGGCTCTTCCAAGGACTTTCTGTGGGATTCCTATCCCGACGACCTGGTCTCTTCTAGCAGGATTGAATCCGTCCGCTCTCAAACATACCGTTTCATCTCGAGGCAGAATTTCTTGCTTCGCCGACAGGACAGCGGAATATTTGGTGAGGCTCCCCTGGGAGAGTTTGTGGTCAGTTGGGGCCCGCGACCCCAAGCTAGCATGTCAAGAGGTGACAAGTGAGTCAAAGCGGGACGGGTTCTCATGTCACCCCCCTGCTGATCAACCAGGGGCTTACTACTCTGGTGTTCCCATTACTCCGGATGTTCAATCAACCCTCCCTTTGTGTCAAGATGGTGTCTTGCTTTCGGCCAGGGTCCAAGGAGGATTCCTGGAAAACCATCTCAGACCTGCTGGTCAGTTCCACGGATTTAGAGTTGTGCTTCCCCATTTCCCTAACCAGGATCCGGAAAAAGCATCAAGTGGCTGGATGATCTTCAAGCATAACCGGGCGGGGTAAGCGCACCCAACCCAATGTCCCCAGCTTCAAAATTTGAAGATCCGCGACTTGGGCTTGTGTCCAGATCGGGGTTCGGAACCGCTCGAAACACCAAAAAGATCATCCTTGCCTCTGATCGGTGGCTTGGAGTGGGCTTTTTACCTAGACTGGGTTCCCATTCACCCCTCGACAAGAGGAAAGGGGCTCACATCCCACCAACTTAGAAGTACCAAAAGCCTTACCAAAAAAAGAAGAAAAAAATGGAAAAATAAATGAGACAAAAAAAAACACGAACGATTCAAGATCGAATCGAATCCAAACCACGAACTGCCCTTACCAAAAAAACATAAAAACAATCTCCAACTTCGAGGTACCTGGACAAACAAACCAAAAGACAAATTTACCAAAACAAAACAAAACTATATATATATATAAAATACGTCGAGGCGCCAGATCAGGATGCCCACCCAGCGATCTCGGCACTCATCGATCTTGCTGGTCTCGATGATCTCCTTCTGGAGGGCCGCAGGGATCCACCAATTCACCTCACGCGCCAAGCGCATGCCGCTTCCTTCTCCAGAAGACGCCCCAAAATGGATGTCGGCTGTTCCTTGTGGTGCCCCTTGAAAACACCACCGAATATTCGGCCCGAAGAGAAGGCCACACCCGTTTTGGGCCGGTGCAAAAGATATGTCCCTTGTAATGCAGGTGTTTTTCAGATGCGTCCTTTTTAGAACTCTTGTGTTAGGTCACCCCTTAACTGGTGCTTTGGCAAACAGGGTGGCTCCACCTCAGTAGAAAATCACGCCACAAACGAAAGCCACCATGGACCCCCCTACCCAATCCACATACCCGCTATTCTTCGGGTATGATGCCAACCCCTGACTACAAAAAGGATGCACTCTTGTCATCTTTGTTCGAAATCTACCCATTTAACACGGATACTTTGAGGGTCACCTAAAAGGGAGGCCTTACTCCCCTGGAAGAATACAAGGGCCTAAACAATTAGAATGGGGTTGTACTTTAACACCAAATCAATTCCTAAGAATAGGAGCAAAATGCAACTAAGCAGTTCGGCCCTGCACTTCATCATATGGTGTTGGATCTCTGAAACTTCTTACGGGACCTGAAACATCACCATGTTCACAACGAGCCTCCCAGTCGGGCGCCAAAAGCGAGCTACAAAGCCATCCAACATTCTGCAAAAGGTCGATCAAGTGTGTGCTGGTTGAAAGGAAAAGACAAGAACACCCAAAAGGGCAAAAGGGCAAATCGGGGTGTTCTGCTGAGCAACAATCAGTTCCAAAGATGCATCAGGTACAGCTAGCACACATTCAAGGAGATTTCAGCCAGGAAATGGGTGGGAATTTCCAAAAAAACTGTGGATGGACAAAATCCTGCACCACTTTGAAATCATGGGAAACCGTTGTTTGTTCGTATTTACAGGGGAATCGAAATTAATTCCAGGGATGTTATAGGTGGTGCAGGATCTTGTCCATCCACAGTAGGGAGAGCCCATGTGCGGACTCATTGTTACTAACAAGTTTGGCATATTGAAGAAGTGATCTTCCCCAAGGGCCGGGGAGTGGAAGCGCGGTGCGCAGGGCGGATCGATCCAGATCAAGTGCGAGTGCAATTTGGTGGGAGGTGTTGGGATCAGGAAATCAAGATCACTCCAGTCACAAAATGTATGTGCCGAGTGAGATGTTCGTGGAAACAACAAGTTGGTTTCCTCCTTAGCTCAGTTTAGCCCAAAAGGTGAGCTGGTTTTTTGCCTGCCCCAACAGCCCTCCACTCATAGAGGAGGTTCTACACTCCACTTCTAGGCCGCGCTCTTTGAGAAAAAGCGTTGGAGCACGGGCAATCCCAAAGTGGGGTTTGCCTCGGTATGTCACTTTAACACAACAAAGGGGTTCGAGTCACGGCCAAAATATCCTCACAGAAAGTGGGACTCCCAAAGCACCTCTCCACTGTCCACATCCATGGTGGCAAACGTGCCTTCAGAACAAAACGGGGGCTTGCAAACAGCCGGGCCTGACTTCCCTTCAACAGTTCGAGGGGGGCCGAAATGAATCAATTAACGTGCGAACATGTAGAGGTCTCGTACCAGAGCTGGTTAAACCATGCATTTCAATGGGGCCGCCCCTTTGGGCCCCTCTTGGTATCTGGATCTTGGGGCAAACCCAACCAGCATCAGAGGCATCGTTCCCTTCAACTCCCGAAAGCCCTCACTCTGAAAACTGCCAGCTGCCTCTGCAGCTTTTCTTGCTGGCTCTCACCAGGACATGAAAATTGGAACGACCCCTTCAACATTCAACCTAGGGTTTATTCGGGAATCCCCCAAAAGGTGTATTCCCAACACCCGGACTCGGCTATTGCGCCAGCAAGAGGGTTCAACCCCCATTAAAAGAATGGTCTTGGGACCCAATTCAGATGATGACAATCCTCAGGTAAACAATGGTGACGTATGAACCCAACCATTGTTTTAATGGTGGCAACAGAATCCAAGAAAATTCGAGTTGTCCGGAGAAGTCGACAGCTTCTGCGCAGCTGAAATACGAAGTTGGTAGGTCCGAAGAAAAGAAAAAAGGGAGACACACAAAACAAACTGGGAAAAAGGGGAAAAAAGAAGGAAAAGAAGAAGAAGAAAAAAACGGGTCCATTGAAGTTCCAACAGCTCCGGCTTTCCGATCTGACAGGGACAAACTTCAGCTCCGGGTTCCAAGTGTGAAAACCGAGGCGCCATGTACCCGGAGTTCTTGTTCTCATTGGCGCCGGCCCTTGGCTCCACCCTTCTGAAACCGGGGGGAGGGGCGGGGGGGTCCCTGCAAAAAAAACAGGCGCGGCGGCCACAAATGTTTTTTGGGGTACCCCTCCAAGTGGGCGGTTGTCCTTTTTTGTGTGCCTTTGACATGGAAAAGAGTCCCCAAAAAGACACACCCTAGGGAATCCTGGCAGTCTGAGGGTCAGGTGTTAAACATAGATCCAGCCAGAGGGCTGCAGTTGTTGTCTTTTTACGGCTCAGTGCTGTGAAGGGCCTACAAAAAGCTGCATGGCGCTGGCTTCCGGTAGGTTGGCCAGTGTGTTCAGCTCAAGGGTGCTCTTTGATTGGCTTAGGATTGCACACTTGCGCAGTAAAGTCACCTAGGTTGAAAGGAAGCAGCCAACCAATTCGCAGGTTGAACCAGTAGATAGACACAGTCTGCACTTCAATTCAGGAATTCAACTCTCATGATATTCGGAGGGGGAAAAACCATTACAGGTGTTCTTGCAATATCATAAATATTTGAGTTGTTTGATGGTTTTTGAACTATCAGGACATTTGCCATTTTTTTCATCAGAGGTCTCCCAAATAAAGGGATCCCAGGGCCACACAGGTTCCAAGCGAAGGCTCTGGCCAAGCGCTCTGGCTCTGATGAAAAAGGGCTCTGATGTCACGATAGTTCAAACACATGAACGCATTTTTTCCCCGAGTATCATGAGAGTTGAGTTCTGGAATTCTCTTCAAAGAGGATGTCCCGTGGTCTCTTTTTATTGGAGCTTGCTGCTTTTAACCGAAAGGAACACCGAAGCCATGTTGGGGGTCCGAATCCTTAAAAAAAACATGCCCAACTTGGAGATGACCAGATGAGACACGCTTGTTTCCACTAAAGGGCCTGGCAAATTCTCGGCTCGTCCCCTAGTTTTTTTTCCCTCCCAGAGACATGGACTACTGGTAATGTTGACCAAACTTCACCACTGATTGGAATCCTTCATTGGTTGTCAATAATCCCTATGAAAGTTGGGTGGCCTTCTTTTAGAACCCATTTAAGATTTTCTGGCTATCAAAAGGGTCCATGGCCATCCCCACCAATTCCAAGTAGGCAAATCATTTGACAGAGGCGTGTTTAGAGGTTGTGGAAGGCCATGTTTGCCCTGCCAACTACACCCCTGCGAGCGAAACGTCACTTTGACTTTCCGAATCTATTCATGGTTGGGATCAGTACGCAGACCATTTACCCAGGTGTTGATGTTTATGTTAACACCCCACAAAACGGGCATATGGGCCGGTCTCAAAATAGCGAACCACATGATGCACGGTCTTCAACGGAAACCAACTGCAACGGTCAGTCGCTCCCATTTAAAAAAAATGAGGGTCAAATCTTAAAATGAGCTTAAATCCATGCAAGTGAAAGCCATGTTCTTTCTTGGGCGTTGATGTAACAGGTTCTCTGGGCCCATTTGCCTCGTCGGCTCCGGCTTTGGCCCGGCCCGAGCCGGGAAAAAAAAAAGGCCGCGGCGCACGAAGCAGGCGTCGTGGGGGCCCAGGCTGGTGGCGAACATCCCCGCGCCCCAGGGCCACCAGGTCTTGGTGAGGTTCTGGTTGTTCCTCACCCGACTCCCAAGCTGCAGCTGGCCGACAACTCCCAAGCCGAGGCAGCTGGGTGGCTGGGCGGTGCTCAAAACAGAAAACGACAACAAGCTGCAGCTGGGTGGCTGGGTGCTCGAAACAGGAAGTTCTTCTGAAAAGAAAAGACTTCCAACCTGAACTCCCAACCGGCACACAAACGGTCCTCACCCCGACTCAGACACGACAACTCCCACGCTGAGGCAGCTGGGTGGTGCTCAAAAAAGGGAATCGGACCTCTAAAGTGGTTCCCTTCTGGTTGTTCCCAAAAGAAGAGACTTTCAACCTGAACTCCCAACAGCAAAGAATTCCCCACTCCCAACAAGAAGGGAGGCGATATGTTGGGTATGGTGGGTAATTAGTAAGTGTTCAGCTGAAAGTATTCAAGTTTTAGCATGCTCATTTGAGGCTCTGGTTGTTCGGCTGAACTCTGGGTGGCAGGAGATGGCGCAATTTCCTTTTGCGGAACAACTGCCGGTAGTGAGTGGATGTCCCAAAATGTCCAAGTTGTCCAGAGATACACCAGAGTAAAGAGAGTAAAGTGTGCGCGTGGGCTCCATATCTCTGAACAACCAACTTTTGCCGTGTCTTTAACATGCAGGGGGAAAAAAAAAAAAAAACGGCCAGGTGTCCATTCTTGGTGGCCGTTGCTCCCCGTGCAAGTTTCTACGTTTGCTATTCAGCAGCGCAAAGATCCAGCCGAAACGCATCCATTTGGGCCGAAGCATCCCATTCCGGTCCGAAGGCCGGCGCTTGAAACCATGTCTTCAGAACTGAGAAAGGGGGCGTGCCTCGTTTTGGGTAAGGCCCTGTGGTTGTTGCTCTTCAAATTGAAGAAGCAACATCGGTCGCCTTCCTCAGCATTTGCAGATGGGTACGGATTCATAGAGTGGACCAAAAGCAAATACCTGCTGAGCCCTGCCGAGCCCCACCCTCCCCCCATCCAATGGCCCCATGTTGCCTTCTCAATGGGTCTTTGCAGTCCAACTCATGGGGCTAGACATCAAAAGCCCGGGATTTAGAACTCCAATTGTACACACCTGTGTATGTGTATATATATATATACTATAGATGTGTACATATATATATATAAAGACGTACATATATATATATATATATATATATATATATATAAAGAGAGAGAGAGAGAGGGAAAGAGACATGTGCCACGGTCAAACTTATGGTAATCCCAAATTGGAACCCTGGTAAATGGCACCAAGGACAAAAACCGTGATTCTCTGGGTAAATCATGACCCCTAACCAAATGGTCATCCAAATGGGTATTCTTAATATGGCCATGGGTCAAAATCCAGTACCCCCGGTGAACATCCCAATCCCCAGTAAAATGTTGACTAAAATGGGTGGTGAATTCACCTACCCCAAAATGGGATCCAAAACGGTTTTGAGCCACAGCCCACTGAGTAACAACCAAAAGCTCAGAGAGATCTGCTGGAAAACCCCCGCCCCACGTCCAGGCGCTTGCTGAGCTTGATCACGTTCAGGCAGGCGTGGTAGGCCTGCTCCTGCCAGGAATGGGTTTGTCTTCAAGTGGGGGAACCCCCAAAAACGGGAGGATGTGTGTGTGTGTGTGTCTGTGTTTGTGTGTTTTGGAGGGTACCAATGTATGCTTGTTTATTTGGTTGTGGGGGGGGAGGGGTTGAAGGGAAGCCAAAAGAAAAACCACCAAGTTTGGGGGGGTCCTCAAAAAAAGACACCCAAAACGATCCGGTGAGCCCCAAGTGTGTCTGAGAGTACCCTCAAGCAACGCGTTCAGTTCCACAGCGGTTGTTGCATAGTTCGCTGTGCACAACTAAGCTCTGCTCTGTGCAAGCCTCGGTCAAATTCCGTCCCCCAAGAGGACATGAGAAGTTTAGTGACTGGGGAAATTTAGGTGAATCCTGTTTGTGCCTCCCAAATGAGCCACAGACTGCTGGATACTTTGACCAAGCCTCATATGGTGATCCCTCAAAGCGTCCACAACGCCAACATTTGAGGGGCGGAGGCCAAATTCGCACCTCGGTTCACACCTTCGTCCCCCAAGGCGGGAAGCATCTAGTCGAATTTCAGACTATCCCAACTTAGACTATTGAGAAGTGTTCAGCATCGCTGCTTCACAACTCCTGGTACTAGCCAGTGTATCGCAGCCCACATCTGGTTTAAATACATAAATATATATATATATATATACATATGTATATGTAAATATATATATATATATGTATATGTATATATTCACTGCCTTTCTTTGCTCGCAAGAGCCATAACCAGCTCTTCAACTTGCATTGCCACGCAGAGCTCAGCCTACCCAAACAGATCTCCTCCCCGGGGTAGGAGATCTTGGGCACCGGCGGCATCTCCCAGTTGCCCGGCTCCCCTGGCGAGTTGCGGATGTTTGGGCGCGGCGCCGGGTCGAGCAAGTTGCCTCCTTGAGTCACGAGGTGGTTTTTCACGGCTCAAAGGGAGACCAAAGGAAAACCGCCATCTTGGCATTTGATGGTGGATACCGCGTTTGGGTTGGTGTTCGAAGGGGAAACAGAAGAGAAGCAACCATTTTAGGGAGAAACACTTAAAGCATCACCCTTAGCATTGGAAGCTTGCACCAAATAAGCCAAGAAGGTAACGTGTAAACCATCACATCTGGAGTTCTCTCGGTTTTGTTGGTAGCGGGACCCTGTTCCGACGAGCCAGGCCAAGTATGCGTATCAACGGCTTGTGCAGCTAAAAGCCGGCGTATGCTTTCGTTTTACACACATGTGCCATTTTCTATATGCTCCAGTCATAGTTGTCCTTTTGGGGGAATACATGGCCCTGGTAGATTATGAAACAAACTCGTCCACCAGAGCCATCTACTTGTCTACCAAAACCACCCCCCCAAAAAAAAAGAAGGGGCCACCTATGGCCTACCATGCCCTGTGTGACTCCGGCTGGAGTCACCCACCCCAACCAAGCCCAAAACGAAAACGCCCGAGAGCGAGAGACTTGGCCGGGCGGCCGATGCAGCCGTAGTTGCAGTCCCCCACCGCGAAGATGGAGCCGTCCGCCCACACGCCCCCGCCCTCTGACGGCTTCTTGGTGACCTGCTAAAGAGGAAAAAACGAATCGGCGGGGGGTCGAAACGAAACCCGGGGCGGTGGAAATGGCTGTGGTCAAAACCGTTTTGGATCCCATTTTGGTTGGTAGGTGAATTCACCGCCCATTTTAGAACCTATTCTAGTGGGGACTGGGATGTTCACCCATAGCCAAATGAGTTACTTGCGGCCGTGTGGCTTGGTTTGAGAGTCCGTCTGCAGCACTGAAAGTGGCAGAGTGATACAAGGTCCCAAATGGCTGTGGTTGTCAAAGCTCATCTGATCCCATTTTGCTGGTTGGTAGGTGAATTCAAAACCCATTTTAGGACCTATTCTAGTGGGGACTGGGATGTTCACAGGTGGTACGGGCTTTTGACCCATGGTCAAATAATTGCACACATTCTGGTGTCATGACAAGACATGGTTTTAAGCACCCCACAACCCTCTTCTTATTCAGGCCCTCAGATTATGTCAGGTGAGTGGCTACCGTTGGCTATCATTCATTCACTTGGGAGACAAATTGCAACCGTGGTTGCTAACCACCTACCTGGCGTACTCTGCCCTCTGTAAGCACTTGCACCCTGAACAAACAGCACACCCGCTGGATTGTAGGTAGTAATTAGGTCCGCGTAATGCGTCAAATAGGGACTTGGCGCCCAAATTGTGCTTTTCCTCTTGGCTTCCCTTTGACAAAGTCAAGCTGCAAAGGGTTCCCTCAAAACAACACACAACAGGATATTGCCGAAAGAATATGGGATGATGTCCCATCGTTAATTGAGGGTAGTTTGAGGGCTCAGGTAGATTAATTTGAGTTTTCAACTCAGGGTCGGGCAAAACTCGCTTGAACAAGACCCTGATCCCCAAGAAAACCAACAGATTGTTTGAACAAAACCAAAGGTTGGCACTGGCTGCAAGCGAGAAAAGTAGGGCAAAGCTGCAACTGGAAAGTGAACCTAAACTTCAAAGCCATGATCCTTTCTCAGCCTTGGAGAACCCGCAGCCTGTTTCGAACGTTCTTCCCTCCTTCGGCCAACAGCCCCTAACCAGCCCAGCCCAGCAGAAACGACGCTTCCTTCGTGTATCCATCTGTACACATTCACATCTGTATGCTTTGTGGATCAAAGGCAGCAAAACGGGGCCATTGCAGGCCCCGCTTGTTCAACCTGCTTAGCGCTAAGGAACTATCGCCAACTCTCCAGTCATGACTGTGACTATATCTGACTTACTTCTTACCTGACATGGGTTGAACATCCAAGTAGCTGTGCATCCCCGGCTGAACAAGCCCTTCATGGGGCCGAACATCGGCCCCTTCAACGCCCCCCCCCCCCCCCGCAATCGAATTCGCTCGACTTCTTGCATTCGGCGCCTGGAGGTACTTGTTGAAGTGGATCCAGCCACCGCCGCCGGGGCCCTTGTCCGACAAAGTGCACTTGGGCATGAAGTAGTTCGATGCCTTGCCACGAGAACTGCACCATGTGTTGATTGAAAGTTTTCTCAAGCATCAGCTTTCTCTGATTCTGGGGGAATCAACCTCCCACAGAACAGGAGTCCCTCCAAAAAGTTGATCCATCTAATTTAATCACTGGTGGGTTTTATTGCATGTGCCACTTTTGGAGGTTCCAAGAAAGGGGAATGGCTCGGAAACCCGGCAGAAAGCAAGACTCACATCCCAAAATTTGAGGCCCAATGCAACAACCTGCCCTCGCCTTGACCCCGATGCAGACGTAAGTCTCGTCCGCGCCGTTGGGCAGCTCGATCTGCTTCCAGAACTCCGGGTTCTTGGGGTCGTACCTTCCAAAATTTGCCGTGAATGACCCAACGGCCTTTTACGGCGCCAGGGCCAACCCTGAGAATTGTTGTTCAGCCAATGGCAAAAAGACCATGACCCAAAGAGTGTCGAAGCACCACGAGCCGCCCGTGTTCCTGACCTTACCCGGACTTGAGCTTGAAAATCTGGGCCCGGGCCCCCAGTTACATTACCGCATTTTTTGGGATGCGGGAAACCAGAAGGAACACCGAAGCTTTGGGGGTTCCCCTTGAACCCCGTCCCTTTGAATTTCTTAAAAAAGGGGGGTTCGCTAAAAGAATGACACACCCACCTAAAGTCTCGGTGTTCGGCACCATCAAGCAAACAGCCCCTTCAGCCACCCATGAGTCATGGCTCCCCCAGGTTCTGGACCAAGACGCTTGCAGTTGTAGAACTCCTTGATGCCTGTGGCCTCGCCGAGGAAATCTTCCCAAATTGCCCCCCCCCCCCATTTTAGTGTGAGAAACACAAAAACGCTTTTGGCAGTTCTCTATATTTCCCCTTACATCACGTGGGAAACTCGGATTGAATTGGCAACCAAAGGAGATGATAATTTCCGCCCTTTAAAGGGGATATATAGGGAACCCGCCCGACGCCAATCCAACCCAACCATGTGTTGGTGGCGAAAAGAATGCTCTTTACTGCGATACCCAAGTGGGCAAAGCTGCGTTAAAGCAGATTCCCATTGGTATCACAGAAGTTGGCGCTAAAACCTGTTATGCTTCCCGCTGTTCTGCGATTTCCCGATGTTTCGACAAACATGGTCACAACATGTGGACCCTAAAAAATCATGAAGAACGGACCGATCATGCGGGCCATCCCCTTGACAACTGAGAATGAAGGTGACTGATTACGGCTTATACGGTCATGGTCCCCCTCAATAGGAACCCTTGTCTTGGTCTGCCGAAAGGGCGCTTCAGTTTGGGCATGGGAAGCCCTGAAGGTTGCCGTGCTTTTGGCCCCAGAGGTCTGAAAAAGGTACAGATTCTGCTGACGCAGCCGATAAAATGAGCTGGCTTGGAGCCCAAGGTTGCTTTGGAACCCCAAGAATCAGGGGAACTCACAAAAGGGGTCTGAGTTCTGAGAAGGGTGGTTTGATGAGTTGGTTCGCTGGATGCACGTTCAGTCTGCCCCAAAGTATTGAAAAACCAAATGAAGAAGGGAGAGGAGACCCCCCCCAAGAGAAAAAACAAGTGCAGATTCTCGACTTCGTTGGTTCCTCAATTTCCCTCCCTTGCCAGAAGGAACAAAAACCGCAACACTCCCAGACCTTCTTCACGGCCGCCAAAAAAGAATCCGCGGCCGCGGGCCCGCAGCCGCGCGCCCGCGCGCGGGTTTTCGTCGGCTCCGCCGGATTTTTTTGCCGCCCCAAGCGGCGCTCATGTACTCCGAGCAGTACTCAGCGGCGCCGTCGGGCAGGGGGCCCAGGCAGCGCGGCAGGAAGTCGATGATGGTCATCTTCAAGTCCGGGAAGAAGTGCTCCTCGGTTTCCATCCCAAGCTAATCAGTTTTTGTGGACCACAGATTCATCAACCAACCAGTTTATTGATAGGGGGTGCTTCTCCATGGGTTTAGTGGGGAATGGAACACCCCCTCGTGTCAACATTCATTACTTGGGTATTCGATTCGCCAAGCTACGTGCCGGTAGGTATAAGTTTTGACTCACTTACAAGTCCTCCCGTTCAGTGGGTTCTTTCTTGTGGGGACAAGAAATGAAGAAAAAAATAACTAAATGGCTAACCAGCTAACTTGGCGAGTTGGATGCTGCTTTTTGGGGTTGCCTGGATGCTGCTTTTCAGGAGAAAAAAATGAGCTGCTCAGGGCCCGATGGAGCTGCTTGCAACAGCGTGGCTTAAAAAATGTGAACACCCAACCACGGATGGCCCGAAATTCAGAACCCCCCCCCCCCTTGCCCATTTGAGTGGATACACGAATGCGCATGTGAACTCACAACCCTTTAGAAGAGCCCCTACACCGAACTCCTCTTTCAATGAAAGGCCCCAAACTCATCTCATTCAAATGGGTGCTTTTGGGTGAGGGGCTGGTGACCCTTGGATTTGGACTTGTCATTGGATTTCTGGATAAAGAAATTTGGCTCTTGGAATCTCGTACTTTGGACGAAATCCTGCAGCTCAGAAACCCTTTCTCATAATTCCCATGTAAAACTCAAGCAAGTTCCCCATGGTTTCAGAGTGGTGCGAAATGGATTTCGTCCATCCACAGTCTGTGGTCCGTTAAGGCACTCACCGAACACAATATCATGCTTGTTCTAAAGGAACGCCCCATTGCGGTAAGACGAATGCTGGCTTGAGACTCAAGGGAAATGTGAAGACAGGGCCTCTTCCCACCTGGAGGGAAGGAGAGGACAGGGTAGGATAGAGTAGGGTAGAGTAGGGCCTCACCACAACCTCCATTGTAGTGAAAGAAGTCATTGTAGACTTCACACCAACCCGTTTAGCCTTGCGCCTTTCCGGTTTCCTCAATGTTCCCCTTCTAGCCCCCCAAACTGTGTTCATTTTTCGGGGGGGCCGGATCAGCCCAGCCAAGTTTTGTCGTTGATTTGTCTCAAAATCACGGGGACAACCCCCAAAAAAGTTGTTTTCTTTAGGTTTCCCTTTACAAGCACCTCCACTGCCCCTTCAATCAACCTAACACACCGCATTTGACTGAACCCCCAACTAACCCCAATTTTGTCTCAGTTTTGTCGGGGGGGCACTCCCCATTTTGCTGAAGCTGAGACACACACACCCCAACTCACTCTGCTCCCCAGTGGTGCCAGGGACAGTGATGCACGTGATGCACGTGATGCGAGTAATGCAAGTGAAGCAAGTGATGCAAGTGATGCAAGCGATGCAAGCAATGCGAGCGATGCAAGCGATGTGAGCGGTATGAGCGATGCAAGCGATGCGAGCGTTGCCAGCGATGCAAGTGATGCGAGTGGTTGCCCAGTGATGCCACTGATGCCACCGATACACAATGCAGCACAGGGCGCCATTGGTGCACACAATGCCAGTGGTGCCACATGCAAGCGATGCAAGTGATGTAGGTGGTGCAAACGATGCAATGCATGCACATGGCACAAATGATGCGAGTGATGCAAGTGATTGTCTGTGGCACACAACACCTGCGCTTCGCACACATGCTAACAATGTTATCGGGCGTGATGATGTGGGAGATGAAGGCGCTACAAGCCACACGCAGCTATGCCAGTATCGTAGTGATGTTGGTGATGCTAGTGATGCTGGCAATGTTCTGGCTTCAGCGTTTTGAAGAGAGCCAAACCCCAAACCAAAGCAGCCTGATTGTCTGCTTGCCATCCAACCAAACACTCCTCGTCCCGCGGAGCAACCGCAAAACAACCTGAATTAAGAAGAGAAACAGGACCAACAAAGCAAAAAGCAAATCGAAGTGCCTGAAATCTGCCCATCGAAAAACCAAACCAAGAAGAAATGCATCAAATCAGGTTCAAAAAACACCTAGAGGAATAGTTCCAACAACCCCATTCTATGTTTTGTGGTTGGCATTGTATCCACTCAAAACCCCGGCCAAACTCGCAATGGGACAGTAGAAGTTCCTACCGAAATTGTCCCCGCTTTGGGGTTAGCACCGTGTGCTTACAAGCCTGCAAACCACACAATTCCTTGTCCCATCAAAACAAAACCCTTGCCTTAAGTTGACAAAAGGCAAGACGTGTCTTGGGCTTCTCTTCTTATCCAACCTTAACACATTCCGCGTTTCCTCTTGGGTTAGAAGCCAAAGGTCTCAACCCACCCAGCCGAAAAAAACTAAAAAATCCACCCCCCCCCCCCCCGCCCCCCCCCACGCACTTAGCGAGCTGCCAGCTCGGTGGCCCACTCCACGCCGATGAAGCCCGCGCCCACCACCAGCACGGTGGACTTCTTCTTGTTCAGCTCGTGGAGCTTCTGATACTCCTCCGGTAGATCCGGGGGAGAGGGAGGGGGGAGGGGGGGAGGGAGGGGACGGGTGGATTTGGAGAGAAATTCGGTGTACGGAGGCAAAATCTGGTACTCCTCCGCTGGATGTGGGGGAGGGGTGGAGGGGGGGAGGGGGAGGGGGGGGAAGGACGGGTGGATTTGTGTTGAACCCCAAGAAAGCTATGGCAGTCTGGTGTGAGAGGTTAGCCAGGCTACTTTTGAGGGGTCATGTCGATTTCCAGTTACAGTCAGTCACCCGTTCAGGGCTCACGACTCGTTAAGGTCAAGGCTTGGTGTTCTCCTGGTGTTCCCACAGCACATGCACCAAAGATCGGATTTTGGGAGCCGTGGATATGCCCCTACGGCCTTACTCATAGGTACTCCTGAGATAGACCCCTGTTGCCAGAAAGAAGAAGGTGTGCCAAGCCCATCTCCGGCTAAGAACTGAAAGGGATATGGGGCACAAGAACAAATACATCTTGTGGCTCTACGTAGCCGATTAGCAAGATGTTTGCCGCTTTCACCAGTTGACTGAAAGGGAACCCAAGCAAAAGCAAAGCAAGGATGCTTTTCAAAAAGGCCCTCGTGGAGCTTCCGGTACTCCTCAATCACGGAAAAGGGCTCTATCAAGGGGGGCGGAGAAGCTAAGGACATGCCGACATGCCGCCAACTGTCCCAATTTCGATCTTGTCAAGCGCCTTGCTGCATGGACCGACAAGATTTACAATGTGCCATCCGAATTTCCAAAATCAAGCCATTTGACGGACTAAGCGGCTTGGCGTGGACAGTCAAAAGCATTGTTGAGAACTTTCCCTTGTGGAGCTTCTGGTGCCATTGAAATCCAAGCGATCAAAGGCCCAAGAAACCCTGTCGAGAGTACCGCTCAAATGGTCCAAACCAGAAAACCTCGCTTTGTCGTCCTCTTGGATAGCTTCCTCTTGGTTTCCCTACAAGCTCACCCCACAAAAGGTTTTGTGTAAAGGGTGGAACCCACTCAACGTCCCTCCCTCCCTTCCACAACCCCACGGTACGAAAAGATGTTCCGATTCTGGCCCAAATTCCGTCAACCATAAAGCAGACGAAGAAGTTCGGAGAACCCAGAAACAAGGTTGGGATGCTTTGGAACCCCAAAGAATCAGTTGAGGAACTCCAAACGGAAATCCCTGAAACCTCCCCTTCCATTAGTCGGTTACCCCCTTTCTGACGGAGGAGGTGAGTGTGTCTCAAATTTGCTTCCCCATTTCCCGTTGCCCCCCCAAAGAAAACGAATGGACCGGTTCCGAGGCTCCCTATAATCCCTATAATAATAATAATAATAATGATAATAATAATAATAAATAAATAATATTAAACAAAAAACAATGCAAAGATTTTGGATTGGTAGTTTGGGGATTTGGGCCCCAGCTTGAAGTCAAATGGGGTGTTGATAACACCTAAGATTCCACCCACCCGACTCCAAACCCCAAGCCCCTTCCAAGGAATGGACCGGTTCCGAGGCTCCCCGAGCCCCGCGCGCCTCCAGCACGTGGCGCCGGCGGCCCTCCAAGAAGCGCTCGTCGATGTGCTTCCAGTCGCTCACCGCCCGCGCCTCACGAATTCGAACGGGACTCGACTCGACGCATCTCGCACTCGGAGCCGACTTCCGGTGGAGGGACTTGCGAACTCTGGATGTTTACTGGACTTGAAACCAGGACCTCTGTTGGGCAAAACGGGGATCGAATCAGAAACTAGGCTTTCTGAATGGTGGTGCGACATGGATTCCGCAACCATCCACAGTATGGTGGAGGCTCTACTTTGCATCCCTTCTTTAGGGTTTCAGCCTTGCTGCTGCAAATTGCCCCTTGTCCATGGCACCGGGCCTGGGTTGAGCCAAATTGGCTTGGAGGCTGAAGGAAAACCCCAACGGTACCGAGCCTCCAAAAAGCTCACCCAAGTTGGGCCGTCCGAAGCAGGAACCAGGCAACATTGACGTCAGAATCAGACCCTTGTTGGTCACAAGGAAACCAAACGGGGGTTTTAATCCAAAGGGGTGACCCTAACAAATAAACTGCCCTACCAACCCCTCCCCACAATCACAACCAGTTTTGGCCTTGTTTGGTCTTCCCAAACCCAAGTGTTTTTTAACCTTGCCTATCGAAACAACGGACTAAAGAGCCCAGATCTGCCTGTTCCACATGGAACCTCCGGCAGTTGGTTGGTTCCATGTTGGAATCGTCCGTTGGATCGTGGACGAGTCGATCCATGGCGAGCTTCCGGCATGGTAAACGGCAGATTCAGTTTGGGTTAGGAGACAGCAGGGCTCCCTGAAATCCCCCTGAAACATCACAAGGTGAAGCTCATCCGACAGTAGCCGCAAAAAGGTGCGGTTCAAAACCGAAGAAGGAAAAATACAATGGCCGGTAGAATGCTAACAGGTTTATATAAATGGGTGGGGCTCAAACTTAAGGAGCTCGGGTTACCCAGGTTTTGGTCTTTCCAGGTGCCATTTGGGCACATTGAATTGAGCCACAGCCATATGTGTTTTCCCTGGCGGTGGGAAAGAATCTCCTGGGGCCAAAGCCTCCTCGTGCACCGTGGGGAACCACAGGGACTCGCCTCAGAGGAATTGGCAATTGGCGGAAAGGGCCACATCCGGGGGTGACGCTCATTAAGGGCTGAGAGGTTCCTTGGTTGTTGCCCTTTTAACATCATCCCAAAGGAAACTCACTTTGATCTGGCCCAGGTTTGCTCCTGTCAGGATTCCTTCCCCTAGTTTGCTTCCAAAAGGGTAGCCTCAAAGTGGGGCCCAACATTGGCTGTGCCAAACGCACTTTTGCCGCAACCAGAAAGGTTATGATGCTTGATTGCGTGCGAATATGCGGACCTCACAATGTAAATAACTCAACAGAGGTTCCAGAAACCCTTTCAAGCGGAATCAGCCAACATCCCGCTGGAATGGGGCACCCTGAAACGGCTTCCAAAAGCAGCAGAGTAAGAGACGCTAGTACGTGGATCTGCCCAGGTTTGCGAATGGTGTGAGCCTTAGGCCAAATCACCTCCCAGACCCGAGATCCATAAGCTCGGGAGTGTTTCGCCGAGCGTCCCGGGAAAGACACTCCTCGCTCATGCTCAAATGTTTGAAGCAACTGATCCCAAACGGAAGCGGATGTTTGCAAGAACGAGCAACCCGCTTGATTACTATATCAACACCTATCAAAGGAAGAACTTCTCGGGGGATCCTGTCCTCATCCTCCAAGTGACCAACTTCCTTGGGTGAATCCTCGGAACAGGGTCTGGCCAACATCCGCCGGACTGGAGTCCCCAAATTCACGCCACCTAGTCTCCACCACAACCACCGACGTTTGAAACCCTTGGGTGGTTAGTTAAAAAAAAAACAAAAAAAAAAAACCTACAACCCTGAAACTTAGTGAGTATCCACCAAAAAGCGCCCGCTTTGTTGGGGGCAAATCGGCGTGATAGGGCTTGCCCTAAGCCTTGTGCGAACAACACTGTAGGTACGCGTCAAAATTGGAATCGGAACCCCTCAAATGGAAGGGCGGGGGGGGGGGGGTTGGTGGTCCCTGTAAAACAAACCAAACAAGGTACTTGCAAAAAGCACGTGTCTCGACCAACGCTACCTCTACCCCAAACCCAAGTTCCCAAAACCAAACTCGAAGCCCGCAAACTAACCCTAAACCAACACATTTCTTAAACCTACCGCCAAGCCCGTAAATCCCTACGGCCTCGTTCTCTCTTGGCAAGTCGGGGAGCCCACAAACCACCCCCCAAAGACCCCTCCCAAAGACCCACAAGGCTCAGGGGGTAACAAGCCTCAGGAACCCAACTTGTGGCCGACCTTCGCAGTCTCAGGGGGTTGGCTTCTCCCGCATGGGCTGTGAGGGGACAGCTGCATAACCGGCGAACGGGAGCCGGCGAACGGGGTCCTAAAGGCGCCTTGCGCGTGGGCTGTGAGGCGGTGAGTTGTGGGGGGTTGAGTTTGCAAAGTGGGGTCTCTCAAGGGCAAAACGGGGTAGTGCTTAGACACTGGCCACATAGCAAGTAGTTGTACCTCCCACCAGTCCAGTGGAATAGTGGAAAGCATCTTCGACCTTTGCTCATCCAGTCTCTAATCTCCAAATGGGGAACCCATTTTTGGGCGGTGTCCTTTGACGCCAGGTCAAAAGCAAAGCACCAGAAAGGATACCCACCACGAAGCGTCCACTCGCTTGCCGCTGGCGCCAGGCCGCCCATCGGCTTGAAGGGCCCAAAGTTGCATCCCGCGCAGATGATGCCTGAGAGGGAGAAAAGGAGCTTCAAGCGGCGTAGAGGGCTGCAAGCGCCCGATTCCTTTTCCATGTTTTTCGAGGCTTTTCTAGGGGTGTTGATTCCTTGTCCATTCTGTTCAACCATCGTTCTTTTCAGCCGATCGCTGATTTTTCAGGGTGTTGGGTGGTTTTCTAGAAAGAAGGATGCCTGGAAAGAATGGGGAAGGTTCCTTGAGCTTTGTCGTTGGAAACCAGCACACAAAGCTTCAGTAGTCAAGGCTGCAGCAGTCAACCGAAGGCTTCAACCAAAATCCAGTGGTGGGTAAGAAGCTTTATCAAAGCTCAGAGGGAATGCTACGAACCCTGCGAACCGTTTCGAACCGCTCTTCGCTTTTGACTGCTCTTTTTTGGCCTTGCGCACAGCGCATCAAAAACAGACTACTCGAAGGCTAGGGGAAGACTACTTCAGTAGTCAAAGCTGCAGTCGTCAACTGGCCATGAGTTTGAATTAGGCACCCTCTAGTGCATCATTTAGGTGCTGATTCATGTCCACCAACCACTTTCCGGGTGGTTCCGTATCTAAACTTCACGGCCAACGGAAGGCTTCAACAAGAATCATGGTGGGTAAGCAGTTTTTTCGTCAAAGCTGCAGTAGTCAAAGCCGATGCTGTCCAGGTTGTTGCTGAACATCGTCTTGATGCAGGCCGTCTTCTTGTCGCCGTCCAGCTCCTGACCAGGCGCCGAACGGTCCGATGTGGCTTGATTTTTGGCCATCCCAATCCCCACTAAAATAAAGCCTAAAATGGGTGGTGAATTCACCTACCAACCAAAATAGTACCATTTGGTTTTGACCCACAGCCATTTCTGTTGACTTGAGACAAGACCAGAAGGCAACAGAATAAACGTGTCTTGTGTGGAGAGTGAGCCCCGTTGGGGCGCTGTATCAAAAGAAAACCAAAGTGGAAACAGCCATGTGGATTGTCGAAATGTGGGTGTGTCCTGAATAGAGGACCACGAAAATGCCGGTTGCCCCCCTTGGCTACTAACCAGGGCCACCAACAGGATGCATGCCATCACTTTCAATCTAGGGTGGTTGTTCAATTGGCAACAAATGATCTATTTGAGGGGGCTCTTCTGACTGGTAAAGAGTCCTCCTTAAAAACCAAAGCTGACATTCGCTGAGTTCATTTGTGGGTGGTTCTCAAGATAGTGGTCCCCCAAAATGGTTGGAGTCCTGTTGTTTCCACATTTTGCGACACCCCATCTGAAGTAAGCCTCAATAGTTATGGAAGATGCCCCAGTATAACTCAAGAAGTAACATTGATTGTCGACCAACCTCTGGCTGCTAAAATCCTCTTGAGGAGTCACCCATTCCTTTCTCTCGGCCGCCTGCGTCCTGAAACGCAAATGAATCTTGAGAAGGTGGCACTTCTATCCTTAGGCTTTTGGGGTTTCCATCTTGTCCAGATCCGCTGTCCTTCACTCTGATGGAACTTGGGAATGCTCCTATGAGAGGTTTCCCCTAGAATGAGTCCGTCCACAACAAGGGCTCGGCTTCAGTCCACCCTGAAAGCTACAAGAGATGCAGGAGAGCAAGGCCTTGTTGTCTTCTTTTTCTTAAAATGAGTGGTGTCTTGAGTGGTTCTCCTCAAACAGCAAAATATGGGAAGTCTCCCCAGTTGCCGCCACCTCGAATGAAACTTGGCTAGTTTCCCTTGAAATGAGTACAGGGTGGATAGAGGGAAACTGAAAGGAACACCGCAAGACGCACCCTGGGGACCTAGTCCAGGAACCCGTCCAACCCGTCCAACCCCTCCAACCCGTCCAACTCGTCCAACCCCTCCAACCCCTCTCCCAACCCGTCACCGGCCCGGGGTTCCCGAAAACCGAACGAACCGAACACCGAAAACCGATTTGCCCAGTCGCATCCGTCCCTCCAACCCCTCCAACCCGTCACCACTCAGGCACCAAAAGCCGAACCGAACCGTCCGGTGTCGCGCGTCCTTCACCTCGCCCCAGATGAACTTCACCCCCATCTTCCGCTCGTAGACCGGCTGCAGCGTGAAGGTCAGCGAGTCCAGGTGCGCCGGCTTCACGAAGGCGCGGAGCACCCCCGGGGTGTACTCGAAGTACTCCTCGAGTCAAGGGAGAGAAAACCAAAACCCCCCCCCCAAAAAAAAGGATGCGTGTTCAGAAAAACGACCCCTCTGCAAAAAGCGGATATCTCACATTTTTGATGGGTCCCATGGAAAATCTCACTTTTTGGTGGGTCCGATGAGAAAATCCCACGGTTTGGTGGGTCCGATGGGGGAAATCCACAAGGCCTGCTTCGGAAAGTCCAAAACGGATTTGGGGACCGAAATTATGAAGTGTAGGAGACATTTCCAGCTTCACTGCCCATCAAGTTAGTCATCCTGACCACCATGGGAAACCAACCTCCGGGCTTGGGCTTCAAGCGCGCTCAACCAGCTCAACTCGAGCACGGTGACAACTCCGCCCAAAAAGCAACACCATGGCTTACAAGTCGACCCACTCCTCAGATTGACCTGGAACCCAAAAAAAACACCATTGGAGGGATGTCTTCCGGGAAAAGTAGCCCTTTTGTTTGTCTTCAGACAGGCCAAACTGGCCAAACTGGGACTCTTTTCCGCTCGGATGTCAACACGACCTTCTGAACTGTTGGTTTTTAAGGGATTTACCGCCCCGATAAGATCTTTGAGAACTCTCGACATGCAACGACTTTAATGACAGCTTCAATCCGAAGGATCATACCAATCAGGGGTGGTTTCCCTTTAGTGGGGGGTCAATTAAGTTAGGGGAATACCCCAGAAAAAGATGTTGTTATTTCTCGTGGTTCAAAGGACCCAAAAGTTGTACTAAGTTATTCCCTTATATCTCCCGATCAGGTTGACGTTGGTTTAATCGAAAATCGAGCCTTTTGGGGGGAGCGGGAGGGGAACCAAAGCTGTTGGTTCTGAAAGAAGTGTCAGAGGCTCCCCGCCTCACTTGTTGCACCTGCTTTGTTTGGAGGAGTTCCCCCCTCTGACTCTTTGAAAACACGAAACCGAGCCACTCATAAAGTGTCATCCAGTTTTGGGGGTTCATCCAGTTTTCATACTGTGGATGGACTAAATCCTGCACCACCTAAGAAACCCCGGAATCGGAATGATGAATCCCCTGTAAATACCAATAAACAATGGTTTCAACCATGGTCAAGTGGTGCGAAATGGATTTCGTCCATCCACAGCAGGGTGTCCTCCAGTTTTTGGATTTCATCCAGTTTTCATAGGGTATCGTATCACAGGGGAATCGAATCATTCCAGGGTGTTTAGGTGGTGCGAAATGGATTTCGTCCATCCACAGCAGAGTGTCCTCCAGTTTTCGGATGTCATCCAGTTTTCATAGGGTGTCGTATTTACAGGGAATCGACTGATTTCAGGGTGTTTAGGCGGTGCGAAATGGACTTCGTCCATCCACAGCAGGGTGTCCTCCAGTTTTGGGGTCCAACCTCTAGCACCAAACGAGCGAGAGACAAAGCCACCCGCTTCGGCCTTGGCGTCCACCACGGTGCAGAAGAACTGCGTCTTCAGCTCCCGCGCGCAGAAGTTCCCGGAGAACTGGCCCCCGATGATCAGGCAGCCTACCGGGGTCTGGAGCTGCGGGAGGTGAGAGAGAGGAGCCTAACCCTCCAGGTAGTTTGGTGTCATTGGTTTGGAGGCGATCTGGGTGCGAATGTTCATTGGTCTGCTGTTGGTTTCCCTTTAGGTTTGGATGCGAATGTTCATTGGTGTCCTGTTGGATAACCAGGGGTTAAATGGGGCCCTGCCATTGCCTTGCTCCGGCCGTCTCCCGGCCGGCCCAAGAAAGAATGAAAAAGCCTCTCCACCCCGTTTTTCGCCCGCCCCCCTTTCAAGCCAAAGCAAAGCCTTTGCACCTGAGGCGAACCCAAATAAAAAGTTCGGTCCAAGTATCATTAATCTGTGGTTACTTTGGGGCGGGGGGGACTCGCTAAAAATCCACGGGACTCACACTACTCTTTGGCAGAAACAAGCAATCTTCACCGTGCTCTTGCCCGCCTCTGTATGACAAATGTCTCCCTTGCACTAGCATTGGAGCGGTTGCTTGTGAAGATGATTTCCACAGTATCAATTTGAGGGGGGACCCTTTGAGCATCATTTTGGCCGCGATGCGTGCCCACCAGAGGCCAGTCACTATAGGTAACGGACTTCCTGTAGTATCCAAAGTGTTTTTTGGTCGGGCACTCGTCTTTGGAACATTAAACCAAGAGGTGACGTCTTCCCCAGCGAAAATCTTTGGGGTCGCTAGGCCTGGTTCGGAGTGGCCGGGAGGAAACTCTTTGTCTCGCGCACCATAAGAGCGCCAAAAGCCTATGAGTTTTCATAGGGAACCTCGCAAGAGGTTGGTGAGGGAAAGGGTGGTTCCTTTTGCTTCGAAAAGCAACATGAGTCGCCAAACAATTCAAGGGGTCCAACTGCTTGCGACACCCAAACGCGCAAACACGCAGCAAACAAAGCATTGCGGGCAGGCCCATAGTTCAAGTAAGCAATAAACCAAACCAAACCAAACCAAACAGACCAAACCACGAAAAAAACGAACAGACCAAACCGAACAAACCAAGCCAAACCAACCAGACAAACCAAACTGACCGAACCAACCAAAAGTAACAAAACACCAAACCAAGCAAATCTTCCAACCGAACAAACCAAGCCAACCAAACAAAGAAACAAAGAGTCACACAACTGCCGAGTATAAAGGCGCTCAACTGAAGCAAACAAACACAAACACACAAAAAGAAGCATGAAAAAGTATGTATGTACCCAGCACACACTCAGCACATGCAGCACACGAACGCAACACACAAACACGGAATCACACAAACAAACACTCAAAACACGGCAATCGCAAACACGCGAACATGCAACCGCCGACATATACCTATGTGTATGAACACATATGCATATATATATACACATATGTGTTTTTTCCACAGTCACGCACCAATTCGCTCACTGAGCGGCGAGGCTTTCCCATGGCGAATGTGGGAAGTGTGCGGCGGATTTTCCTTGTACAACCGATGGAGCCGAAGGCTGGCGGAGGCGCGGCATGTTGTCTGAGGGTACCCCTACATTTCCCCTGAAAAAATGACCTACCCATGTGAAGCTTTGGTTTTATTGGTACTTTGTAAAAGCTAAAGCGTGTGCTAGCGCCTTCCAGCCGTTTCCACTTCTATTGGTGCCCCCTCACATCACTATCAGCTTACTCAAAATCCCCACAGGGTGGTGATCAATTGCGCCTTCCCAGAGAGAAGACCGCTTGTGGGTGAAGCAAGGTGGTTCCAAGAGAAACTCGAGACTTTCAAAGGGAAAACCAAAGCGAAAAAAGAACGAAGCGAAAACAAACCGACGTTCTACCCATGCAAGCAGCACCCAAAGCCCACTAACTGTTGTTTCCACTATGGTTATAAAGGCTTGTATAGGCGATTATAGCTATAAGACCAAGTAGAGCCACCTACTACAATGGCAACAATCGGGGTTTTGAGCGCTGCTCACACGGTTTTGACCTTCTTCTCGGCTGAAGCGACCCGGCCCAAGGCCCCGAAAGAAGGTTGGAATGCTGTTGAGGCATCACCGAAACCAGTGTTTAGAGGGGTCCAAGCACTGATGCCAAGACACAACTGCTCTTGAACCCCGCACCAAACAACACAATCGACAGGAAGTTCACCAAACACTACCAGCACCTTCCAAAGGTGGTCAAATAAAAAGGAATCACGAGCCGCACGCCGCTTGCCGCAGTAATTACTGTACTGAGCATGGACCAGAATGACAAAAATATGGCGTTTGCAACCTATGCACACCCAAAACGGCCATCGTGTTGGGGAGGTCATGGGCCCAAAAGCGACTTCAGTCGATCGACTTCACGAAATCCACCAGCCCGAAGCTCCGAAGCTTCGAAGCGCACCGCAGGTGGCGCTGCATTCGCTCCAGAAGTGCCAGTCGCTGAGCCGGCAGTCCTGCGCCGCCACACCGGGACCTCGGTGGTTTTTCTTTTTTGCTTGGCTCGGCGCGGGAGAAAATGGGGGAACGTGGGGAAAACGGGGGAAAACGGAGGAGGGAAAACGGGGGAAAGAAGCTTAGAAGCTGAAGCCAAAAACCGGGTGCCACATATGGGTGCGGCACAATGGGGTACCACCGAAAACATGGTTACACTTGGGTTCCATTTAAAACAACCATGGCGGCTCTTATAATTAGGAACCCGTCCACGTCGTTGGTTGACTGTGGGTACCATCCAAAAGGGGCATCGCCATTTGAGACATACCAACACCTGGCAGGAAATTGGATGTTTCATCTGCCCCGGACAAAAACTTGAGCCTTTGAGCAGTGGGTCTGACACGGACGGGTAGGGAAGGCGATGGGCAACATATATAAGCGCCGGAGGGTTTTGTCATTCCTGACTATCTTGCAGTCCGGCAGCACATTTTCTTGAGATTTGCTTTCTTCATTGGGGTCAGCGGATGCTGGTGATGCTGCAAATGCTGGTCATGTTGATGATGCTGGCAGTGCTGGTGATGCTGGGGATGCTGGTGATACAAGTAATGCTAGAGATGCAAATATGGCTAACAATCAAGCCAGACTGACATGCTTAGATGGGCATTGGGTGTTTGCTTCGAGATAAGCTTTGGGTTGTTTGATACAATGATGCTGACGATGATGACGACGACGGCGATAATGACGGTGATGATGATGATGATGATGATGATGATGATGATGATGATGATGATGATGATGATGATGATGATGATGATGATGATGATGATGATGATCACGACGATGATGATGATGATGACGACGACCATGATGATGATGACGACGATGATGATGACGACGATGGTGATGATGGCGCTGATGATGATGATGATGATGATGATGATGATGACGACGATGATGATGACGACGACGGTGGTGATGATGACGCTGATGATGATGATGATGATCATGATGATGGTGATGGTGATGGTGATGGTGATGGTGATCTCTTGCTGCCTGCTTGTTACTAAATCCGGAGGGCCCTTTGAGGCGCGAAAAACAACTCCGACTTCTCATTTTGAGCCAGCATCCGGCGATGGAACCTTCTGCAGCATTCGACCACTGGGTTTGTTGCAAAAGGGGGGGGGGGGGTCGTTCGGGCTGACGACCCGAGAGTGCCACTCCAGAATGTACCCTCCAACCCCGTTTGGCTGACATTGCTTTCGGCTTCTGGGTTCTGGCCCCAAACTTCCCAAGCCCTGTCAACCAAAAGCGTTCAGGACGAGCCGAACCGACAGGAGCAATGAGAAAACAAGTAGTGAACAAAAGAAACACAAAATACGCAAAAGAAGATCGCACATAAAAACGAAACAAAACAGAATAAAGCAAAACACAACACAAACAACAATCACAACGAAAGAAAAACAGAAAAAGAAAAAGAACAAAAGAAAGCAAGCAAAAAGGAATCGTGAAGCAAACCGGCGGTCGCCAACTCAAGCCCCTGAACCCTAGAAGTCTTAGGCCGGCGGCTGCATGCCCTGGTCTCTTTCATGTCACCCACGCAGGGGGCGCCTGCAAAATCGATCCGATTTCGAAATCGATCCGAGTGAGAGATATCCCGTTAGCACCAACAAGGGAAACAATCGAAAATCGACGGGGATCCAGCGGGTCCAACTCAGCTTCCCACTTGGAGCCCAAATTTGACCAAAAATGTATTATTTTCAGCAAATGCAAGGTTGGGACCCTTTTGCAGTACAAGAGCCGGCACGGCACAAGCTTGAGCGCAAAAACTCTCGTGAAGTTGATGTCCAGCAATGTTCCACCAACCATTTTTGGGGGCTCCCACCTAAACATCATTGCCACAGGCTGCGATTTGCTGATTTCACCCGCCAGGCTTCAACTTGCACAGACCTTTCGTTCAAACTGCCACAAGCCCTGTGCGTGTCCTACCATTGGACTTCTTTTCATGGTGACCTTGGTTTCCAAAGGCTTATCTGTTTGGACAATAGTATTCTTCAAATCAAGTTACAAATTCAGGGTTCCATTCTTGGACTACCAAGCTAGACTTAAACCAGGGGGTCCCACAACCATGTCGAGACATGCTCAAATAGGTGTTTCTTGGGATGTGGAAGGCCCTTTAAACCAACATTTGGAGAGCAGCTGGGATATCGTAGGAATCGTGGGCCCCGAATCGTTTGGGCGATGGATGGCATCCTTCATCTCCACGCGCCCAATTCATGGAAAGGCCATAGCCCGAGCCAATTTGTTTGACTGGGCCTAGGCCAATCCGAGCGGAAAAAGGCTGGGATATCTTGTAGAGAATTGCTTTCGACAAGGTGGATTTCAACGCCGCTGGTTCATCTCTCCCGAAAAGGAAGCCCCTTTTTGCGAGACCAAATTGGCCATCCCGGTATTCTTGCGATCCCGGTATTCTTGCGATCCCTGCCACTCCTTTATCGGCAACTCTTGGTATCTCGGAAAATGGCCGCAACCCCTTCCTTTCAGTGTGCCACCGTGGTTTGGACATCCATCACCCAACGTCGCCCCACGTTTGGTCTGCCCGAGTCGTTTGTTCTGCCTCTCTGGCTGTTCTCCTGCCCAATGGAGCGCGAGCCTCAAGAGGCGATGGAGTGGATGGGTCGGGAAAAGTCCGAACCACTTCTTTTTGGATTAAACCCCACGAAACCCCACGAACGTCTTAGTCCAAACCCCACAAAAAGTGACCAGAAAGGGGCGTTTTGATGGCAAGGCTCAGCCAAAACCTCTGGAAAACTTGCTGCCTCGAGGGAGGGAATGCCCGAACTGAACCATACTGGTGATTGACTGTAGGAATCACCATTTTGGGTATATGTCAAAATAGGGACATGGACCCAAAAAATCAGAGAGAGAGAGAGAGAGAAAGAGAGACAGAGAGAGAGAGAGAGAGAGAGAGAGAGAGAGAGAGAGAGAGAGAGACAGAGAGAGAGAGAGAGAGAGAGAGAGAGAGGCCAGGCAGAGGTCATAGAAGCCACGTCCATGAACCAATGCAAGGAGTCACAGTTGGGAGACCCTTGGGTTCTAATGGGTTCCTTTTGGATGAGAAGAATTGTTTCAGCGGGTCTGCAACTAACCCATTGGGAATTCGGCTTGCCTCTAACACATCTGGGGGCCCAAGGCGAAAGATCCTCCCAGTATTTAGTTGTCCGATGTTCAAAATGAAATGATCGAAGCCAAGTATGACCTTGTTTAAAACAAATACAACACCTGACATGAAGGATCCCCAAGTGAAGGACCTACATCATGGCTTGAGCTTGTGTTTGGCACGCACTCGGCTCATCCTTCCAGTCCCTCACAAGCTGGACTGACCCATTTTGAGGCTGTCAACTTGAAAAGACGCGGCGTTAATGGACCCAGTCAACCCTGCCAAATGCCAAATGCTGCTCTCAGAAAACCGCCTTGCGGTACATGGAATTCTTCAGGCCCAGACTCTGGTTTGAGATACTCTCCTGAAGATTTTATTTGGAATCCTCAACAAAATAGATTCATGTTGTGGGAAGCGGACTATGTGGTTTCTGACCATTTTTCCGGGGGGAGCACCAGTCTTATCACCCCATCTGTCAAACATTTGAAAGTACTCTCCCAAGTGGCACACGCCCCCATCTCCAAAAACTAAAACAAGGGGTTGCCGAATCCTGGATTCTCTGTGCCAACAACTTCACACCTCATAACATAGTTCTTTGTTTGTCATAGTTCTATTTCGTAAAGCGCGCTCAAAATTTGTTCCATGACCTCGTGCGCTTCCGCGTTTTTCTTGGGCCCCGACGGCCGGACTGATCATCCGGGGAGTTGCACTGCGACCATTCCGACCACGCCTCACAAGCGGGCTCCAGAGAGCCAACGACGTGCTTTCGAGGCCGACCCTGAAGAGGCCGTGTTTGGGCGGCTTTTTTTGAGGCTCGGGGTGGGAGTGTTGGATTCGTTTGGCGTTGATTCTGGCGCCTCGCCACCGCAAACGCTTGGCCCCGGGCG